ATTCTATTCTATTCTATTCTATTCTATTCTATTCTATTCTTTCATCAAAAATTCAAACCTTAATTTACAGCACTTCTGAAGATCCTAGAAACTTGAAATTTGGCATGCATGATTATGCTGCCTAACAATTCAACATTTGATCATCAGAAGTAAAAATAAAAAAAAATTAATTAAAAAAACTCTACAAATTCACGGTTGGGAATCGAGGTTTTTTGTCGCTAAATTTTACTATTGCTAAACTAAAGATAGGAAATAAATAAATAAATATAAAAACCATTTTTAAAAACCACGTTTTTCTGGTGGTTACAAAACTAAAAACAATGAAATAAAACAAGTAAGAAACTTTATAAAAAACTCGTTTTCTTAACGGACAAAAAAGAAAAACATTTACTAGTACATACCATTACATAACATTTTACATAACTTTAATGTTATGTATGAGTAAATGTTTTTCTTTTTTGTCCGTTCAGAAAACGTGGTTTTTAAAGTTTTGTATTTGCTTTATTTCATTACTTTTAGTTTTGTAACCACCAGAAAAACGTGTTTTTTAAAGGTTTATATATTTATTGTTTTAATACTGAGAATGGCTACCCTCGAATCATGGTCTGCTCCCGGCACCAATGTTGTGAGTTCGTAAAAATACATATATACAAGGAGTAACAAAGATATATAAGCAGTGAGTAGCAAAGATCGGAGGTCGTATGATGAAACCTGTTAACTAATTTTCGAAAATTACGATCTTAAGTTGGTACAAATAATATGCGTTTAAAAATTACTTTTCAAAGACAACACTTCTAAATGATTCAGTGTCTCCGATGTTACACACGTACAATGAATTTCTTATTCTATTTTCATATATTAAAAAATTAGTTTTTAACTTTTTACAACACTTCACTTCTTGTTTGTCTGTCTGCGCTACAAATCTTATAAATTTTATTAATAAATTTAACACACTTCTACTTCTACTTCTACTAATCCTATCGATCTGAAATTTCGCACACTTGCGTAAAGTTGAAGACAATGCATGAATCAATTGACAGACTAAACAATTTGAAAAATGGAAAAAAAATTTCAATATTAAAAATATTTAAAAAATAATTTTGCCAGCTACAAATCTTATAACTGATATTTGACACACTTTTACCTGTCCAGTTGATCTGAAAATTTGCACACTTGTGTGAAGTTGGAGGCAATGCGTGAATCAATTGACAAAATAGATAATTTTTGAATACGTTTTTATTTATAACAAAAAAATGGAAAAATTAATTTTTTAATATTCGAAATTAAAGTGAGAAATTCATTGTACATGTGTAACATTGGAAAAACTGGATTCTTTAGAAGTGTTGTCTTTAAAAAGTAATTTTTAAATGTATATTATTTTAATTTACAAGCGAACTTGGAACGCAGAAGTTGAGTTGAGCTACAGCAACAAGTGTGGCTGGTCGTATGCGTGTGGTGGCCATATATATTAGTGTTGTGTATTGCTGAAACGCTGGCAATGCCATTGTTGAACCAATGAACTTCAACCGCGGGCAATACACCCTGCAATCAAGCCAGCACGCAATTTTTGCATCAATTTATTCATCATCTATTGAGAAACAATTATAAATGGCTTATCCTCCAATTTGAAATGTTTGAAATTTGAATAGAGCAATGGATAAAAGCCATTCCCAGCCATTCTCAGTCATTGGGAATGGATAAAAGCCATTCCCAGCCATTGGGGTTTGAAAATCAAATGTATTGATACTTTAGGCGAAAACGATGAATGTTCGTTGCCCGATGGACCTCACATTGGTCATAAAGTTGTCTGCTGTCTCGAGACGCCATATATAGAGGTTTGTCCATTTTCGTATCCACAATACCGGACTATATAAAGTCTGCATGGTGTCAAAATTCGTCTTCATCATCAATTTCTTGAAATTTCGATTGAACTGAAAATTTTAGCAAAATGGCTGGTCTCCAAAGACTCATGGAATGCTCTTCTTTGTCAGGCTTAGGCATGTCGGACTGGCAATTCGCCAGTCCTGCCTACGCCAGTTGCTGCATGGGATCCCTGGGATCCCAGCAACTGGCGTCAACAGAGCCTCTCTGGCAAAGCCAGAAGCTCTCTGGTGACGCCAGAGCTGAGCCGAAGCGAGGCGCCGCCCCCCAAGAGGGGGAAGAGATTCACCGCATTCTTGCGGAGACTCTTCTGTGGCTGTTGCAGGCGCGGCGAGAGCGACGGTGGCCGGTGAATGGTAGCGCCCAATTCTTGAGGAGTTGGGGCGCTGCTTTCAAATTGCTACTGCTCTGCTCTTGGGGGAAGGGTGTTAAGAGGGGGGTCTTTCGGGACCCAAAAAATAAATCATCCTGCCTCCTGAGGGGGGGGGTCCTTCGGGATCCAATGAATAAAACTTCCTACCTGCTGTGGAGGCCACGATCATTAGAACACCGGCAATCCTAGCGGCGACATTTGGCCTACGTGAGGTAATATGCGGAACATTCTTACAACACTTCTCTTTAACTTCACTTCTTATCTGTTTGTTTGTCTGTCTGTCTGTCTGCTACAAATCTTATAATCCAAATTTAACACACTTCTACGCATCCTATCGATCTGAAATTTTTCACACTTGTGTAAAGTTGGAGACAATGCATGAATCAAATGTCAAGATAAAAAATTTTAAAAATTAAAAAAAATGTTTTCAGAATTAAAAAATTGAAAAAATAATTTTGTCAGCTCCAAATCTTATAACTGATATATGACACACTTTTACCTGTCTAATAGATCTGAAATTTTGCACACTTGTGTGAAGTCAGATGCAATGCATTAATCAATTAACAGAATAAATAATTTTGAAAACAAATTTATATATTAACAAAAATTTATATATATTAAAAAATTGAAAAGTTAATTTTTTTAATTTTTTGAAAATTAGATGAGAAATTCATTGTACACCTGTAAGATTGGAGATACTGGATTCTTTGGAAGTGTTTTCTTTAAAAAGTAATTTTTAAACGTATATTATTTTTCACAAAAGGACGATTGTTTTTGTCCGATATATAGTATCTCAGATTGGACATAAAGTTGTCTGCTGTTTCGAGATACCATGTATAGAGGTTTGTCCCAATGCGTATCCACGATACCGGACAGTCTGGTCCCTAAATTTCGCCTTCATCGTAGATTTTACATTGAAAATTTGTGGCAGCGGCAGGCCACAAGGCGACGTCCGAGAGCGACGGTGGCTGGTGAACGGTAGCACCCAATTCTTGATTTGGGGCGCTGACTTCGTCTAGGGGAGGAGGGGTGAGGGGTGATCCTTCGAGACCCAAATAATGAAACATCCTACCTGATGGGAAAACCGGGTTTATTCGAACCTACGTCAATCAACGCATCTGGAATGCGTAGTCCGGGCTTATCCAAATTTCTGGGATCGACTGCCACTTTGTGACATTGAAGTCGCCGGGACATAAATGTTTCAAATATCTATAATATAACAAATTTAGTTTGTGAATCAGCAGTGCGTTCGTGTTGTAAGCTCGGCGCCGCAAATACTGTATATAGGGGGCTAAGTAAACACTTATTCACCATACGCCGGAATGTTTCCTCGGAGTAAAAATTACTTCATGACAGAATATGGTGGAATGTAAAGACTATAATAGGATTGGAATTTGATTTTTAAATCAGAATTTATAGATTGAATTTAACATCTGCATTTTCCTATTTTCGAACGCAAGCAAGTGGGTGTTCTAAGTTCCATATAGCATGTATAGCTTTGAACTGGTATCGATATTTTTTAATATATACATTAATTAATATGAACTGGTCTCTTTTTACAACACTTCTCTTTAACTTCACTTCTTGTTGTTTCTGTCTGTCGGCAACAAATTTTATAACGGATATTAACTTCATTCACTTCATTTATTCTGTCACTTGATTCACACATTGTCTCCAACTTTACATAACATAACATAATGATCTCAGCGCTTAAGCGTAGGCCTGATGTAGCCTGTCGCCGATTCTTTTCCTTTTCGTGCCTTGTTCACAGAAAATCTAAAATCGTGTCATTTTACCGTATCTTTTCACGACTGACGAAAGTTTGAAGTAGCTACTAGACTTCCACCGGGTTCGATATGGTGCTAGGCATTTCAAATCTGAACATATATTTTTCCATAGCTTTATCTAGTCTGTTCTTGAACGCGTTCATACTTAGAGCGCCAACGATGTTATCGGGGAGGCTGTTCCACATGTCGGTGATTCGAAGCGAGAAGAAACTTTGTCGCGTGGAGAAGTTGCAGCGCAGTTTTTTATTTTATAGCCGTGGCCCCTGGTGTTGGTTCTTGTTTCAAATTCTAGTAATCCTTCAGGGACCTTGTATGAACCATGAGTATACTTGTATATTTCAATGAGGTCCCCACGCAGACGTCGAAAACTGAGGCTTGGAAGCTTCATAATCTTCGATATTTCTTCATAGGACTTGCCCTTCAAGCCTGGAATTATTCTTGTTGCACGTCTTTGAACATTCTCTATTAAATTTCTGTCCTTTTCAAATCTCGGTGACCACACAACGTTTCCCAAAGTCTAGATTCGGGCGCACGACAGCAGCAAACAACAGCTTCATCGCTTCTGCATCTAGGAACTCGTATGAGCGTCTGATTAGTCCAAGAAGTTTGTTGGATGTGTTAGCTTGCGTTTCAACATGCTTAGAAAATTTCAGCTCCTTGTCGACATAAACTCCGAGATCTTTTTCCACGCTAGACTTTTCAATCATTACTTTCTCGTTGCAACCATGTCTTCTCATACTGTAATCTTGCTGTTCTTTGTTCTTCCCGAGGTGAAGTACTTTACATTTTTCAGCATTAAACCGCAGCTGCCACGTATCAGCCCAGTTAACTAAATTGTCAAGATCATCTTCTAATTGCACTTTATTTGACGCATCCTTCACTGTATAATAAACTTTTGTGTCGTCTGCATACATGGAGCACACGCTGGACACTGCTTCTGGCAAATCGTTTATGAAAGCAACGAACAAAATAGGCCCAAGAACGCTTCCTTGTGGCACGCCACTGCGCACTGATGCCCAGTCTGACACGGTTCCGTTAATACAGACACGTTGTCGAATCTTGGGTACATAGGCATCAACTGCAGACAAAACCGTGTCTTTGAGAAACGACCATGAATCAGCCACATTCATGTCCTTAATACAGTCCGAAATATTCGCCGCATTCATCATTTCACGGAGTTTATCATCGCCTTTCGCAAAGTTCAAACGTTCACGCTTCCGAAGCGTCTTTTCTGCACAATACTTAATATTGAAAAACAATGGTTGGTGGTGGCTTTTGCCCAACGGAGCCTCGTGGGTGCGCGGACAGCTTGACATTTTCTTGACATTTTCCGGTAACTTTACGCAAGTTTTCCAAATTTCAGATCGATTGGGTAGGTAGAAGTGTGTTATTTAACACACTTCTACCTATTGTATAACACAAATTTATGAACTGGTCTCTTTTTACAACACTTCTCTTTAACTTCACTTCTTGTTGTCTGTCTGTCTGCTACAAATCTTATAACTGATATTTAACACACTTCTACCTATCCAATCGATCTGAAATTTGGCACACTTGCGTAAAGTTGGAGACAATGCACGAATCAAGTGACAGAATAAATGATTTCAGGAATTAATTTTTTTTTGCCTCATAGAAAATACCGTAATTATAAATAATTTCGTCTGCTGCAAATCTTATAATCAATATATGACACAATTTGACCTGTCCAATCGATCTGAAATTTTGCACACTTGCAAAAAGTCAGAGACAATGCATGAATCAGTTGACAAAATAAATAATTTTGAAAATTTACAGAATCTTTATAATTTAAAAAAATTTTGAAAAATAATTTTTTTCAATATTCAAAAATAAAATTAGAAACTCACTGTACATGTGTAACATCCAAGACACTGGATTGTTCAGAAGTGTTGTCTTTAAAAAGTTATTTTTAAACGCATATTATTAAAGATTTTAGGTCAATAGTTCAATCGAATTTTCGAGTGTTAAATAGGTAATATCGGCGAATTTTGAGACCAGTCTTTATGTAGTCAGTTACTGTGGTTAGCAATGGAACAAACCTCCTATATGTGGAATTTCGGAATGTAGACATTATTATCGATTTGAGGTCCATCGAGCAAGGAACAACTGTCTTCCGCGGTAAAAAAAAACGGTCCTACTTATTTTCAAACTCATGTCGTATTAATGGAAGTTGAAATTGTTCGAACCTGATATTCACTCAGTGGTAAAATAATGGGTGCTAATGGTGTCCTGTAAAGTTTTCAAAAGAGTAACACACAAACAAATTTTATTAGGAATAAGATCTGTTCAACGATCTATAAGTTCAAAACGTTTTTGGTGAGAATCATAGTTGAACAAAAACTTAAGTTTTAATGAAACTATTATTTATGAGCACCAGTAAGACTTTAAACATCGATATGGTTTAAGATTTATTTTATTGACAAGCTATCGGAGATATAGCAATCAACTAAAAAGTTATGTGTCCATTGCGTATTATTTTTTATTGATATTGGGATCTTGAATTGCTCAATAAGATTGTTTTTTTTTCTACATAATTTCTTTTCGGTTCTCGCTTCTCATATAGCTAACTTAAATTTCAGAGCGTTCCAGCTAATATCCTTCCAACACCATCATTTTAGTTATAATAAGTAATACATTAACAATCACGATTTCTGATAATTATCGATAAACGTGTTCAATATATGTAGAATGCTAGCTCCCAATAAATAAAACAATTATTTAAATGAAGAAAATTTTCATATTCCATGTATCACTGAACAGATTTTTATAATTTTATCCGCATCAAAAAGATCTCCAGAATTTTTTTTCATATACTCTACAACTTAAATTCGTTGTAAGACAAATTCTTTGAGATGCAATGGGATTCCCGCTACTTAAACGTTCAACATCCAGTGTATCAAGCATAGCGAACGGCAACATTCTTTGCACAGAAACGGGTATTGTGCTTCGATCCTACGAAATCTTGTTGATTTGTTCATACGTAAATAAATCTGTGTATATTTGTTGTTAAATATTGATGATAACATGCTAATGAGTATTGTTTTTCATTATATTTAATATGTGCTGTAGGAAAATTTGATGAAAATACGGTATATTTTTCCATCAAGTCACCAACCATGCATGTGCTGTTTTGACTCCTGAGAGTCTTCCACTGAATCCACTCGGAGTCAG